GGGGCTGGGGGGAAAAATACACCCCCACAGCCAGTCCCATCAGAACGCCATAGGGCTGGGGGGGGAATCAAACATCCCCCCCAACAGCTAGCTCCACCAAACACACACCAAAAAACAGAAAGAAAAAAATCACAGCACAGAAACATAACCAACCCCCCCAAACTCAAACCCACCCTGCAAAACCCTATAAATATACTCACCCAGAAGCAGAAAGCAGCACCAGTCAGCCCGAAGCCTCTCTGCAAACGCACGCACACTAACGGTTGGGGTGAAAGAGCTACAAAGAAGCTCTTCCCCGACCAACAGTTAGCCTTTTAATTTGAATTCCCCACTTTTCCCCCTGTCTCTTTTGTTTGCAACTCGAAGCTCCAGTTGCAAGTTGAAGCAAAATTTTGCGGCCGGAGTTGGTCGCAATCCGAAATGGTCGTAAGTCGGGACATTCGTAAGTCGAGGCACCACTGTATTTGAATGGCACTAAGAAGTGAAACTGCTTTAATACATTCTTTTTAGCCTATAGAAACTTTTGACTTCTGGGTAGTGGGGTAGGGTGGCTAAATGGTTCTATTAAATTAGTAAGAACTATTTGTTAATTTTTTAATTGTCACCTTTTTTTTAAAAAAAATCTTGGTTTGGATTCCAAAACGCATACAAAATGTCCTTATCTGATTTCTTCCCATTCTTTCTTCCTACTACAACCCAGTGTCCCTTTACCAAGAATGGCTTATTAGGGTGTAGTTGGAAGGAGGGGGCAGGAAACCCGAGTTCCACTTACACATCTCTGGACTTGTGTAACCTCAGTGTGCCCAGAGTAATGCTCTTAGTCTCTGTCAGATCTTGCTTATAATCAAAACTGAAGAAAATAACCAACACTTACTGAGGAAGTCCTTCAGAGGATCGACACTACAAGAGGCAGAAATCAAGGCAACATTGAGTTTCAACAATACATGCGTGGAGATGCTATTGGTTTTTAAATGATAAAACGCCTGACGCTGTGGCCAAGGTGCTTGATCGCTGCCGGGCCACCACCTCCTCCCTTGCCTGGCCTGGCTAATCAAAGCAGCCAGGCCGATAACAACAGAATGGGCCACAGCAATAATAAATGGGTCTTTCCTTGAGGGCAGGTTTCCATCTGCCCTCAAGGAGACACTCATTAGGTCCATAAGAAAGAAACCTCATTTGGTGGCAGACGAAATTGGCAATTATAGGCCCATCACCAATGTTTCTTTCATGAGCAAAGTGGTGGAGGTGGTGGTGGCCGACCAGCTTCAGGCACACTTGGACGAAACGGATACCCTGGATCCGTTCCAGTCGGGCTTCAGGCCGTGCCACGGTACAGAGACGGCATTGGTCGCCCCGTACGATGACCTGTTGAGGGAGGCCGATGGGGTGAAACGTCTCTGTTGGTCCTCCTCGACATCTCGGCGGCCTTTGATACCGTTGACCACGGTATCCTCCTGGAGAGGCTCTCTGAGCTGGAAATCGGTGGCCTGGCGCTTGCCTGGCTCCGTTCCTTCTTGGAGGACCGCCCCCAGAGAGTACAGCTTGGGGAGAGTGTGTCGGCCCTGTGGGATTCTACAGGGGTCGGTCATCTCCCCAATGCTGTTTAACATCTATATGAGGCCGCTAGGTGGGGTCATCAGGGGGTGTGGAGCATCGTGTCATCAATATGCTGATGACACTCAGTTCTACATCTCCTTTTCACCAACTGCAGGTGATGCCGTCCTGCCCTTCAGCTCCGCCTGGAGGCCGTACTGCAATGGATGCAGGAAAATGGGTTGAGACTGAACCCGGACAAGATTGAAGTTCTGAGGGTGGGTGGTCCCGTGGCTGGTGGCTTGAGCGACTCTCACATTTGGGGGGTGACCCTGGCTGCGAAGAGCGGGGTCCGCAGTCTGGGGGTACGTCTGCACCCGACGCTTGCTATGGAAACACAGGTGGCGTCGGTAGTCCGCACCACCTTTTTCCACCTATGGCAGATTGCCCGGCTGCGGCCCTATCTCGACACGGGGGCGCTCACTACCTTGGTCCACACGCTCATAATCTCAAGATTAGACCACTGTAACGCGCTCTACGTGGGGCTGCCTTTAGGGCTGATGCGGAAACTTCAAATGGTGCAGAACGCAGCGGCCAGACTCCTCGGTGGAGTGAGAAAATCCCAGCATATTTCTCCTACGCTGGCCATGCTGCACTTGCTGCCCATTCGTTTTCGCATCGACTTTAAAGTTTTAATGCTTACTTATGAGGCCCTAAACGATTTAGGACCTTGATAGTTGGCGGAATACCTACTCTCACCAAGATCTACCCGGATCACCTGCGCGAGCCAGGAGGTGAGGCTGAGGAGCCTGACCCCGAGAGAGGCCCGGAAGGAAAAGACACACGAAACCGGGCCTTCTCGGTGGTGGCTCCTCACCTCTGGAACAATCTCCCTCCTGAGATTCGCGCCGCCCCCACCCTGGGCACTTTTAAAAGTCAATTAAAAACATGGCTATACATCCAGGCCTTCCCTCCAGCTAATACCTGATTTTTCTGTTTATTCTTCTTTTATTTATTTTCTACTCTGTCCTTGTATTGTGTCTGTTATAATATGTTTAATGTAAATTTTTTGCTTCATTTTATCATTTATCCTATACTGGAAGCCGTCTAGAGTGGTCTATTAGGCCAGGTAGGCGGGGTATAAATCGAATGAATGAATGAATGAATGAATGAATGAATGAATGAATGAATGAATGTAGGTTGGTGTTCCACGGCAAGTATTTTTAGTACTCTGACTCTCAAGGTAGTCAGCAGTGATTAATATATGAGGGTCATTAATATTTCATGGTTTCTCTCTTTTGGATGATGACTGGAGTGACATTATGGAATGCTAAGCATCTCTTGATGCTCATGTATCATGACATGGCTCCAGTGTTAATACCGTAAAACAATTTTATCTTCTGATCAGATATTTTAAATGAAGGAGAAATCAAGAAAGTACAACAAATATTGGAAGTTATAAAATATTTAAACTATTGTAAAGTAAGAGACCCCCCAAATATTTCTTCCATCACTTCCATTCTTGTTTTATTAAAAAAATCATTTTCACCAAAGATTTTCCAAATCTTTGTTTTCCTTTGGCCAACAGTGCTAGCTTTGCAAAATATTATTTGGACAATCTTTTGTGAAAATGAAATTGTATTAATAAAACAAGAATGGAAGTGATGGAAGAAATATAGCTAGTCATTTATGATATTCAGGCTGACACCCGGATTACTCTTTCTTGCAGGAAGATGAAGAGGAATCAAGTCGACAAGAAACAGATGGGAAGAAACACCTGGATCCAAACAGTGAAGATGTTTCAGAAAAAGCTGCTAAAGAAATCATTGAGTAAGTTATTTAGGAAAAGGCAGAAAGCAAACCATGTTGTACTGTACTCCCTTATTTGTGTATCAGAGTTAAAATAGCCAAAGATTGTTAAAATGTGAAGTTTGTAATGCCCCTCTTCACTTGTCTTGTAGGACAGCCAAACAAGATGTAGACGATGAATACAGCATGCAGTACAGTGCCAGAGGGTCACAGTCCTACTATACAGTGGCTCATGCAATTTCTGAGAGAGTGGAGAAGCAGTCGTCTCTTCTTATTAATGGCACACTAAAACATTATCAGGTAAACATCTTAGACAAAGAAAGCTTGTGTGACTGTGTTTTCAACTTAACTCCTTCCGGCGGATTTTTACAGAGTTCTCGGCCTCTGCCATAATAAGTTTCCCCAAAGCATTTTCAGTTTCACCAAATTGTTTCCATTTGGAATCAAGATATGTGGATTCCTTGACTACTCCAAAGCAGCCATTCTCAACCTTTTTTTTTTGCCGCAACCATAAACACAATACAATAGAAATATAAGACACATTGGGTTTGTGTAAGTCGCATAACAAACCTTATAAGGTAGTATGTGAAGATTTTTTTCCTAGTCTGTAGCCCCTTTCAAATGTGCCAGGGCCCCTGGGGAGGGCATATGTCCCCCCCCCCAAGAATGGCTGCTCTAAAGCATGCTACTTTCCTTCCCTTTGTCTTTTGTGTCTGGCTCCACACAGGGAGCAAGAGTTAGATGTGCCTATTGATAGCATGCAAATCATTTATTTCCTTTTTGCAACACTTATTGTGACTGTATTTGAGAATTCTTTATTCTTCTCAGTGCTCTACAAAGCTGGAACTATTTCGATACCCATTCTGCTCATAAGCTTTGTGATAACAGTAGTAGTTCATGCCTTGCAGTTTGGCTACGAAACAAAAAGCTTCATGAAGTTGCTCTAATATTGTATTTTCTATTTTTGGCATATCTTAACACTCACTTGCTGTGCTGGATGATGTCATGGGCTAGATTCAGGCTTACCATGGGAACCTCTTCTCAGCAGCACTTCATAGCAACATTGTCTGCATAAATAGTCTTGGGTCTCATGCAACCATAAAACTGGATTCCTGCAAATCATGGTTTCTAAAGAAACATTTGGAACAAGATACTCTCTTCTCTCTTTCCCTTCCCTTCCCAGCTTGACCAATGTTAGTTTTACATTTGTACCTACGTTACTCCTGCCACTGAGTTTCCCTCTTTACTGTAAAAACCCTCTTTAAATATAGATTGAAACTGGTTATGATGGGAAGCCTAGGTAGCATAAGTCTTCGAGAGTTAACATTTCATTCCAGTTTAGATGTCAAAACAGGAGGACCCGAACATCCAGAGCTCCCATATATAAAGTTAAGCTAGTGGCCCATCTTCTTCCATTTTATGTCCACAGACTGGCAGCACTCCCTAGAATGTCAGTCAGATGCCGTTCCTAACTCTAGTTGGGGATGCTGTGGATTCAATCCAGGACTTTATGTATGTAGATGATATGTTCTGTACTCATGAGCTGTGGTGTGCATTACCCTTCTCCTCCTACATTTTCCATCTCCTCTTGCTTCTCATATGTGAAATTTGTCCTTTACCAGGTTGCTCTAGCAGTAGTTTGGTATGATATATACAGGCTGTTGTTAACCTTTGAACCACGGATATTTGAGTAGCCAATGTGGTTGACTGATCAGACCACAGCAGGCTAGGCTTAATGCATCCTAAAAGCAAAGGAGTGCGTGCATGTTTCCAGTCCTTAAACCAAATGAATCTAAGCTATTGACAATGCTGACAGGATACATGAAGAGGAAGATCAAACCATAGAATAGAAGGAAGAGTGGGAGTGTATCTTCCTGTGGGATGCTTCTGATTCACACAACATGGTGACATCTATATTCAACCACTAATTCTTTTTTTTATGATTTGATTATGTTCAGTTTTATTTAATTCTTATGCTAATCAAAAGCCAGCAATTTTTTATCTGCCCAGATTTTATGCCAGTGTACCAATATTAGATTGTTTTACTCTATAATTTTGTGATTATTCAGGGTAGCTTTTTGCCACCAGTAAGTTGGAGCTCAGGTACTGCAGTGTTCTTTAAAAAAAATCAAGAAAAATGCAGCTCTTCAGCCGTTGCCTGCTTAGGACACACATAGACTGTTAAGAGCATATATTCTGTCACAGTATGAGCAGCATTTAATCTTTAGCGCTCGACACAAATCATCCATCAGTTTTGGGAGCAAAGGCCTTTCCAGCTTTGGCCTTAATAGCAGCAGTGATTGCTACACAGACAATTTTGTGACTTACTTTTCTTTGTGCTGGCTTCTTCACTGTTCAGCACCAAAGAAGAGATGTTAAAATCAGAACATTAGTGTATGCACAGATACAGGATAACTGAGACGATTCTCCTGCATTTCAGATTCAGGGCTTGGAATGGATGGTTTCCCTCTATAATAACAATTTGAATGGAATTTTAGCTGATGAAATGGGGCTAGGAAAGACCATACAGACGATTGCACTCATCACTTATCTGATGGAGCACAAAAGGCTCAATGGCCCCTATCTCATCATTGTTCCCCTCTCGTAAGTAGATGAACTCCTCCTAATGATATTTTTCTATGCTATGCAGATTGGCTCATTAACAACATGTACTTCTTCATCTTTTTTTTACACACTTAATGGCTAGATGAAGCATGCAGTAGGCTGTAATGACTGCGTCCTCTGGATCTAGACTTTGATTGTCTTGCCTTCTTTCATATATATTGTCTGGCATTGGGGACCAGGTGCAAGAGGATGGCATTTATTTAGCAACCAGGATGGACTGTGTATATAGTCTGCCTCTAGTGTGATTCATAAGAGAGAGAAAATGTATATGTTTTCTAATGAGGCATTGCAATTTTTTTGTTCAGTTTCTACAAGAATTTCTTAGAGCTGTCAGATCTTTTAAAAAACAGTTCCCGAGTGGCATCCATCACAGTATTGTGCCACATTTGATTCACAATGTTCATTCTTTTTGGTATTAGGACTCATGAGTTTTGATTATTGTACTTACTTACTGACTCATCAGCCATTTTTTCAATTAATCTGTAGCTTTATATAACATTACATTTTGAACAAATAAAGGCATAGATAGGCACTATTTTCCTCAATCTGTTTCTGGCATTTGCAGTATGAAATTATATTCTTCGAAACAGTTAACTGACGATTAACTGTGAAATGATTCCTATCTAACAGTTTTAATTAGCATTAATCAAAAGGATATATTTATAAGTCAGACATGCATTTATGCAGGTGTTTTCTATGGTTGTTCCTGTCATAAAATATGTCTACTTGCTCTCCATGGTACTCCTTCAAGAGTATACAATCAGATTCTGCATTAGTGATATATGATATAGATGTCAGGAAGTCATGCCATTATAATTTGTTGTGGCTACAGTATCTGGGCTGTTAGATAGTTTTGGTTAAGGGAGGTGTTGGAGAGAGCGAGCATTAAAATAACAAAGTCTCCTCATGGATGAAAAAAAGAGAATGCTGTAATTTCCCAAGTCTGACTCAGTTTTTTGAGTGTTTGGAACACACCTTTGAAACTTTAGCTGACATAGAGGCATTAGAATGCTTGCTTATCTTGATAAGAAACATGAAAATATGTACAGCTGTATTTCATTTTCCCTGAAAATTCTATGTCTTTAAGTAAATACTAAGAGGTACTAAGTGAACTTTCTTTATTTATTCACATGAGGGCATTGCACAAATTACATTTTGGATGCTTATGGAATATAGGTAAAACTTAAAAACAAGAGAAAATGTTAGAAATTATTGCCATTTCTGGTCCCCAATCCATAGGTGTTCTTATTATATTCACACTACACTATCTCTTTTAGCAGTGTTTCTAAAGGGTTTGAAAACTGTTTGTGTGCTTCCAGTTGGGCAAGTTCATACATGCCTACAAAAGCTTTGCAGTCCTGAATGAAACCTCAGCAGCATTTTCAAACACGATTATAAAAAGGTTCCACCATAGATCTCCCCCCTTATGACATTGTAGTCTCCACGTGGTCTGTGAGTTTCATTTTGCTGTAAGTTAAAGATCAATATGTAGAATTTGTAATCTTGTTTATTCTTACTGGAAGGGAGCTCATTTCTAGATTACTGAAAAATTGTTTAATATAATTTCTGTTTTTCTTTTTCTTTTTTTAATTTAGGACTTTATCCAACTGGACATATGAATTTGACAAATGGGCTCCTTCTGTGGTGAAAATTTCTTACAAGGTTTGATTGTCTTTTTTTGTATAAATATAAACTTGGCACTATTTCTCTCAGCCCTCTTGGTTTTTCGCTATATTTAGTTGTAAAGTTTAGCTGTACTGTAGAAGTTACTTTAGAAGTTTCCCCAAGAATACAACTGTTATCAATATTTGATAAGGTACAATGGGTTGGACAGTAAAAGAATTGATAACAAATTTAGTATTTGCAGCAAGGTTAGTTATAGCTAAAAATTGGAAATTAAAGGATGGTATAAGGAAGTATGGAATATTGCTATTAATGATCAACTAACTTGTGATATTAAGTTTTAAAAGGGGTTGGAAAACAAAAATATCTTTAGAGCTATTTAGGGAGGTTTTATTGACTATGTATTAGTTAAAGGGAAGAGTCATGTACCATCCAAAAAATCAATGCAGTTTTGGAAAGGGATGGGGCCTTATAAATGAAATAAATGTAGCATGTCTTCATAGGTTCCTGGTGGATGAGGGCACTTTGTGTGTGTCTGTGGTAAAAGGGGTTGGAAAACAAGAATATCTTTAGAGCTATTTAGGGAGGTTTTATTGACTATGTATTAGTTAAAGGGAAGAGTCATGTACCATCCAAAAAATCAATGCAGTTTTGGAAAGGGATGGGGCCTTATAAATGAAATAAATGTAGCATGTCTTCATAGGTTCCTGGTGGATGAGGGCACTTTGTGTGTGTCTGTGTGTGTATTAAGTTCTTTATTTATTAGTTTTGGATTTGTGTATTTTATATTCTATAAAAATAAAAAAATAATTATTATAAGAGGATCTAGCCTTGCTAATGAAGATTTGGGTAAAAAAGCCTTTATGTTCCTTTTCAGCCCTTTAATTCTAGCTGTATAATTCTACTACAAGGGCTTCACAGTAACTGTTGGATAGCTCAGTGGCTTAGGCATTTGGCTGCGGAGGCAGAAGTTGGGAATTTGATTCCTTACTGTGCCTCCTTAACAAGGGATGGATTCGATGATCCATAGGATCCCTTCCAACTCTGCAGTTCTAAGATTATTATTATTATTATTACTATTTCTGGTATTGGCGAATTAAGATTATTACTAGGTATGTGCAGAAGGTGCCTGACCCACTCATTACTGGAATACTGAGCATAGAGATCAGGACTGCTTTGTCCTTTAACAGACATTTTAACATCATCCAGAGTTCTTCACCTTATCTGCCCAATTCCCCATTAAAAAAAACAACCAACCAACCAAAAATCCACTATTACAGATGAGAACAGCAATGACTTGGGAAGATTTGGACAGCCCGTTTGTTTCAGGGACATGGTACACCTTAATATTGCAGCCAGCATCCCATTGAGAATGTACACTAGTGTAAGCATAATGGTGAATCTCTAAGTAGCAGATTTTCCTAAAAACTAAAAAAGAGGGAAAGAAAGAAATCCACAGGAGGAAGAAAGTAGGAAGGCCTACTAGATGCAGGAAGCTGGTTAAGGAAAGCATTGTTACATCCCCCTGTGGAATATGTTGAGGAAAGCCCAGTGGCGCTAAGGTCAACAGGAACTAGTTGATGTTGCACCATCAGACCAAAATTGAAACAAAGAAGGAGACAGTGGTGTAAGAGGAAAACCCAACGGATTAAGGAAGCTGGTTAAGCAAAGGTTGCTTTCTGTGGCACTAAGGCCAATAGTCAGTTGTTAGTATTCGCACCACAGCCATCCCTCTTTTTTAAAAAAAAAAAAGAAAGCCAGGGAGAAAGAGAGAGAAGGGGGGAAACCATTAGGAGGAAGACAGACAGACAGACACTAATGCCCTAATTGTGTGACCTATCCAATCAGAGCTCATTCAGCAGTTATCCTGTCACAATCACTCATATGTCCTGTTCTAATAGTGTAAAATATTTGAGTAAGGTGTAGTAAACTGGGCTGAGTAAAAGGAGAATGAAAAAGAAGACTGTTCCAGAACACAAAAAAAGGCTATCTAAACAGCTCCACAAAATGTCTGGTGTAGAATCCTCAAATGAGAATAGATAAGGCTGGTGATCTCTCTTGAACTCTCCCTAGAACTTCTGTGGCTGGAATGTCCAAGGAAGCCCTTGAGCGTCATTGGAGGGTTTAGCTTTTCATTTATCTTCTTTGGCACCAGGAACTTAGGACTTTTTTATTCTATTTTATGTTATTAGATTTATACCCCGATCAACTAGACCAAAGGTCTACTCTGGGCAGCATTACAAATTTAAAAACAGTAAAACCAATAAAACCAATAAACATGCAATAAATGCAAGATGTTAAAATGTGAATTTAAGATACAGCAGGAGGGAAAGCCTGCCCAAATAACCAAGTCGTAAGTTTACTTCTGAAGACACCTAGAGAGGGAGGACTTATGCCCACAAAAATTACTATTCCACAGAACTACGGCAGTTTACTCATTCACATGGTTTTTATGAGTTGTTCATGGTCTGAAGGGGGCAGAGGGAACATCAGCATGCCTACAGCTAACTATATATTACTTTCAGTGTCCTCTTTCCTCACATCAAATTGCAACCATCTTTTAACTCTACAAATGCAGAATTAATTCACCCTTGGGGTGAATAATGGTTCTGCCCTATACTTGCCCCAGAATTGAAAAAATACCCTTGTTTCAGTCCATTTTTGCACCTGTGTAATCATCATCATCATCATCGACCTGCAGAGGTAGAAGGGACCCTAAGGATCATCAAGTCCAGCCCCTGTCAAGGAAGCACAGTGGGGAATAGAACCCACAACCTCTGACTCCACAGCCAGAGACCTAAACCACTGCGCTACCCAGTTTTATTTCCTTATTGTGTGCATTTTTGTTTTCATAAAATATTTGAGTAAAGGTGTTAGTAGTGGTTGTTTCACACATTTATATCCCACCTTTCCTCTAGTGTGCTCAAGACATCATATGTGGCTCTACCCATATTTCTCCTTTATCTTTATAACAACTACGTCACTGATGGCAAACCTATGGCACGTGTGCCACAGCTGGCACGCAGAACCCTCTCTGTGGACACGTGAGCCATAAGTCACCATCGAGAAATACTTTCCTCTGATCCTAGATTTTGGGAAGGGAGGGAGAGCCAAGATGGCAATAGCCGCTTCCACCACAAACACACAATTGTGCGCGCACACACCCAGACGCCAGGCATGGAAGCACCTGGCTCCTGCCGCCTGCGCCTTTAAGGATTGCAGCCAGAGGCAGAGCAGGGAGTGTCCCAGGCAGGCACTGGAGGTCCTGTGGCTGGAGGAGTGGGACTCTTCAGGACAGTCGGTCGTGGTTAGTATTGTGTTGCAGTTTGGGCACTTAGGCTCAAAAAGGTTTGCCATCACTGAACTATGTGAAGTATATCAGGCTGACGAAGTGTGCTTAACTCAGGGTTACTTAACTTGCATGGCTGATTGAAGAGATGGAGCCAGATCTCCAGAGCTGACGTCCTGCACACTACGCCAGCTCAAGATTTCTGAATTTATTCACCAAGCCTTCATTTGTCTTTTTAGTGTTTGTTTGGGTTTTTATAAAATGGACCTCTGTTGAAGCCGAAAGCCGGGTTGTTTTATGTTGTTTTTCAGATTCCATCTCTGCCTATTACACCAAACTCCATTCATTGCCCTTTGCTGTGTCTAGAACAGTCATATACTCCATGTTTTAATGGTTTCATGCACTTAACTGCTGTGCCATCAGCCCCACCAGCCACGATGGGTATCAGACACTACTGAGAGCAACACAAGTTGGATACAAACCACTATAATTCACATTCTCTTCAGCTTTTTCTGCAAAGGGATTAGAATTGTCAATAGTGTGTTAGTCCCGTTTGACTGCATGTCTTTATGCGGATCATTGACATTCTCATTTTATTGAAACGTATGTAGAAGAAATTATGTTTTAATCCTCTCTTTTTTTTAAGGGCACACCTGCTATGCGCCGATCACTTGTCCCTCAGCTTCGTAGTGGAAAATTTAATGTCCTTTTGACAACTTATGAGTATATTATAAAGGACAAACATATTCTTGCTAAGGTAATTCTGTATAGTTAATTCTGTATACATGTACTTTATTTTTAAATTTTCTTGCCTGTTTTTCACCATAGCAATATTTCTGATACAATTTTAATAAAACACAGTAAAATGATCAGATCGATCGTACTATTTAGCTTATTTACAAGTTTCTTCCCCTCCCTATGCATGGGTAAAATTCTGTTACACCAAGAGATACTCTTGACATTCATGATGGCAGTTACTTTTAAAAGCCAGTTCCTTGTTTTTCTCTGTCTGTACTGAGTATTCAACTTTTCTTGCAACCTATTCATGGTTTGTCTCCTGCGGTGGCTGTTTCACGTTTGTAGATAACAGAATGGTTTTGCTACCTGTGGATCCCATCAGTAACACCCAGCCATCTCACCATAAAGAAGCATAGCCATCTCTTCATCATTGTGCCTAATAACATTTATCCTGGAACCCTGCTATTCCATTTTTATCCACAGCCCTTCCCCTGTCCTTTGTTTCTGAGCAGAGATGAATGTGGTGAGAAAAGAAGCCGAGCTTTATAGTTTCTTTATGGATGTAGAAAGACAACTGAGAGTAGACTGAAACCTATTGGTTTCATTTTCATTTGTGCATTAAAACCTGGTAGCAAGAAAACACTGCTTTGATCTCAATATCTCCTGAATGCTTATTAGATTCTGAAATGTAAGGGTTAATCCTAGGAAACTATTACTTGAGTAGAAAAGGAGGTATTTAGGTAATGGAGCTCACTTTAAGCTGTTTTATATATAACTGCAAACCCACTTGTCAAACATCAGAGCATGTATATTGCTTAATGAGATTTTATGTGCTTGCTATAGTCACCTTTTTAAAAATGCCCTTTCCCAGCTTAGTATTAAATAAATGATGTGTGTCCTTTCACACAAGATGCTTCTAATTTCCTTCAAGGAGAGGGGGTAGCTCAATGAAATGTGAACAGTTTTGGTTTAGATTTTCATCTCCCCTTGCCTCTCTCTCTCTCTCACTCACACACACACACACACACACACACAAAGAGAGAGAGAGAGAACATAATGTTATATTCATATGCTTTTACTTTGCAATATGTTCAGTGGCTCCAGTCTCAGCAGCTACCCTGATGCTCTGTTAATCCTATCATTTTGGAAGCAAAGGCTTTCTTGAATGATATATGTTGCAAAGTTGCATTCACTAAACTTGGCCCATTGGGTATTTCCCAGGGCTTGGAAGGTAGTGTGTTACAAGTAACTGTGTTATCTTTAGCCCATTACTTTTACAAGTAACAAGGACATAATGGCAGTGTTTTTTAATGGAATGATCAATGTTCCATTCGGCTCAGAATCCCTGTGTAAATGTAAATAGAAGTTTAAAACAGACCAGAGGATACCTCAAGCACTCTGTTCCCTGACAGGCCTTCTTCAGTAGCTCAAAATGTTAGGAGGTCTCTTGTGCAATAGGAAATCTGTCCAGTTGCTATCTGAGACATTTTCTGATAATTTTGGACTTTTGTTACACCACTGACCATTGCTATTTTTAATTGAAACAGCACAAATCAGTGATATGAAGTCACTTCCATTTGATGCTCTTCAATTTCATTCTCTGTTCTGGTACTACACAAAGGCTATGCAAGTTACTTTCCAAGTCAACTATATTTTATAAATTTTTTGAATATATTTCTGTTTAGGCTACAATCTCATATGTCTGGAAGCAAGTACAGTTATACCTACTGGGATGTAAACCTTTACAGGATTATGTTATTAACCTTGTCTAAGCTGAAAAATTGTAATTATTCTTTTTTTATTTATTAATTGTATTTATTTATTTATTTTGCCCAGCGTGCTTCAGAGTGATGTACAAAGTTAAAAACAATAATGGAGTACAAACTCACCAGAATAAAAACAATAACAAAATATGTTTCAAAATAAGTCCAAATAATAGTATAATCAATTAAAAGCGCAGGAGAGGCAGTATCAGTTTAACTGAGTGCTTGTAACTCAATAGGGGCAAACCCTGCTTTCTCAGAACCTCAAGGGATGAAATTTATTGCTAATTATTTTTTTATTTGCATAGATTCGGTGGAAGTATATGATTGTAGATGAAGGCCATAGAATGAAGAACCATCACTGCAAGCTGACTCAAGTGCTGAATACACATTATGTCGCCCCAAGAAGAATTCTCTTGACTGGAACTCCACTGCAGAACAAACTGCCAGAACTTTGGGCTCTCCTTAATTTTCTTCTTCCAACCATTTTCAAGAGTTGCAGCACCTTTGAACAGTGGTTCAATGCCCCTTTTGCCATGACTGGAGAAAGGGTACTTGCTGGGCTTCTTTGTTTAAATTTAAAAGTCACAGATATTACAATGCAGACAAATTAAAACTCTTTTAAAGCGATGGTGATATCATATTCATTTTTCCTACTTTAATATAATAATGTTCTATCTTGAAATTCTTAGAAATGACATTTAAGGCTTTTGGTCTTCCAGATTCTATCCATGTATACTATATAACTTAAACAGGGCAAAGTTTTTAATATATTTTTAAAAAAGGTATTCTTTCATTCTCTTCTTTCAGGTGGATTTAAATGAGGAAGAGACCATTCTGATCATTCGGCGTCTCCACAAAGTTTTACGACCCTTTCTGTTAAGGAGGCTGAAAAAAGAGGTTGAATCTCAACTACCAGAAAAGGTTTGTTTAGGGGAGGCTTTCATTAACTCCACTCCTTCAGAGGTATAAAGTGGGCCAGAGTCCACAAAGACAAATCATTTGCTTGATTCCATATTTACTGATGTGGGCAGTTTGATAATTTTATATGGAGCAAAATCTTGTACTCAGGCATTTCTGGTACTGAGAAACCTTGGGAATCCTACATTTTTTGCTCTGTTCACTTCTCTTTGTTTCTGCTATAGGTTGAATATGTGATTAAATGTGATATGTCAGCACTTCAGAAGATTCTGTACCGCCACATGCAAGCCAAGGGAATCCTCCTTACAGATGGCTCAGAGAAAGACAAGAAGGTAAGAAGATTCAGTGCTTAACACTGAGAATTGAGATGCTTGGTATTTTCCAGAATAAACCTTCCCTAATCAAGAGGACCGAGCCTTGTCAACTAGGACTTGAAAAAGACAAAAGATAGCTTAGTAAGAAGCTTTCACTATATACCAGACACAGGCAGTGACAAATAGGTGATGGAGAGGTGGAGCATGGTGATTCATGGAAATCAGCATTATTAATTAGCACAAATAGGCACCGACTGTTTACTTAGTATCCATGGACTATTAGGTTAATCTTTTTGCAAGGGGCAAAATGCGCTGCAGAGGACAAAAAAAATAATAATAATAGCATTTTTGTTGTATGCGATACCTGCAGTATACCATATATTGTGACCTAAATTCAGTTGCTAGCCCAGACCCATTGAATCAGTTGTTGAACAGTGAGTGAATATAAATCCCATAAACGCTGTTACCTTCCCACCGAAGTGGTTCCTATTTATCTACTTGCATTTGTATGCTTTCGAACCGCTAGGTTGGCGGGAGCTGGGACAAGCGACGGGAGCTCACTCCGTCACGTGGATTCGATCTTACGACTGCTTGGTCTTCTGACCCTGCAGCACAGAGGGTTCTGCAGTTTAGCCCGCAGCGCCACCACGTCCCTGCTGCGCTGCAGAGGACCAAAAATTAATAATAATAACATTTTTGTTGTATGTGATACCTGCAGTATACCATATATTGTGACCTAAATTCAGTTGCTAGCCCAGACCCATTGAATCAGTTGTTGAACAGTGAGTGAATATAAATCCCATTGATTCAGTGGCTCTACTCTAGTTGGGAATATCTCTAGGTGCGAGGTTCTGCTTTCCTATATTGCACTTAAACATGACTATTCTTGTGTTACTTCCTCAGGGAAAAGGAGGAGCCAAAACTCTTATGAATACAATTATGCAGTTGAGGAAGATATGTAATCACCCATATATGTTTCAACATATTGAGGTAAAATGATGTGCTTTTGTCTATTTTTGAGGCTAATATGCTAAAACGGTAATCTTTTGCTTTATTCTAGTCCCAAATAAATTAATACCTGGCGAGGTCAAAATGTGAAGTCTGCTTTAGAAACCTTCCATGAAAGTGTGGAAGGGTTGTTTTTTGTTTTTTTGGTAATCCCAGGGCAAGGGAGCATGTGAAAAATGCCAAAATAAATAAATAAAATAAAATAAAATAAATTGGCAGTTCTGTGACAGGAACAGGAAAATGTACCTCCATGTTACTAAGGAAATTGAGTGGCAATCCAGTGTTGCTTAATTGCTTCCATTCTGTTTTAAATAGTTTTCTGCTTTGAGAATCCTTTGCAAATTGGACCATTTGATATCATAAAATAGCAGCCAGGAAAAAGTAGCTTGTTAAGGATAATGCACATGCAATCTGTCTCCAAGGTGCTGTTGAGAGTTTAAGATAAGAGCCAGTATTCTTCATCGTCGTCTTCTGTGAATGCAAACAAAAGGGTTAAGTCAGCGCCAGCGTCGGGCCTTTCGGAATGTTCTTGAGCTCTGTAGAAAAAGAAACATAGTTTAATACTGCCTATACTGCACATGCTCCACCCGCCCAAGCCTCAGTTCCATTTCTCCGCCATGCGAAGTGGTTCCTTTCGGCTTTAGCTCTGCTAAATTCTGTTTGCTGTTCGTTTTACTGGGTTTTTCGAACTTAGCGTGCTTATTGACTACTCTTTCTGCCTTACGGACTCTGTTTTGGTCTTCCGGATTTTCCGTGTTACTCTGGCTGGGGTTTACCCTTTTCCTGCCATTTGTACTGGCTGAGTCGTAGCTCTATCGGTCTCTGCCTATGCCCCGACCCACCCTCTGGCCCCTTTAGCTGGTGCGTGGTTTGCTCTGGTAAAATCCCATACCATGACGGACACGACACCTGTCTTTTTTGCCTTGGGGAATCGCATTCATCACAAAATTGCAAGCGCTGCAAGGCTTTTACTAAAGCTGCTTTGAAGGCACGGCAGCAAAGGCTAAAGTTGCACTTGTGGGATTCTGCTCTGTCAGCCTCTAAACCGTCCGCTATGGAGCTCCCGTCTCCTGCTGCCACACACACACCCCCCGTGCTGAAGGGAGTCCTCACCAGATACCTGCTCTTAATCCTTCTGAAGTGCCTGCTGCCAAGCCAGCAAAGAAGCCGTCTGCAATTAAAAAGACATCTTCTTCTAAGGCTGCTTCTGCTGCCAAGCCTGCAAAACAAATGAAGACTAAACAGTCAGTCAAGAATAAAGATTCTGTCCAGCAGCTTCCTCCTATTTCCTCATCTCTTCCCTCGCCGATTTTGGGGGACTCATCTAGGGACAAGGATTCCATGTCGGAGGCAGCCCCTTCGCTCCCTCCCAGGCAAGCAGAGCCAGTGATAACCCTTGGCGCTCCCTCTCCGACGCCAAGCCAGCTTGTCCAGGTTACTGCAAGCTTGGGTTCAGCCCCTTTGAGCCCTGTTTCCACCGGGCGGGCATCTTTGGCTCATTCCGTGTCTCTAACTCCCTCCCGTCAAACCTCGCCTCCACGAAAGAAAGCGGAAAAAAGGAAGCATATATCTGATGATCGACATCGATCACCTCACAGGGACAGCAAAGGGAAACATTGTCGTTCTCGACGTCGACATAGATCGTCTTCGGATGATTCATCCACCTCGGGGTCGAGGCGCAGGAGGCACAATGTCTCCAACTCCCTCCCGTCCAGCCTCACCTCCGCGGAAGAAAGCTGAAAAAAGGAAGCATGTTTCTGGCGATCGACATCGATCACCCCACAGGGACGGCAAAGGGAAACATCGTCGTTCTCGACGTAGACACAGATCGTCTTCGGATGATTCATCCACCTCAGGATCGAGGCACAGGCGACGTCGTAGAAGGAATGCCTCTATGTCCTCCTCTTCGACATCATCAGACCATCGTCGACGTCATCGGCATGTCAAATACAGTGGTGCCTCGCTTAACGAGTGCCTCGTTTAGCGATAAATTCGCATAACGATGTGGTTTTTTAGAAAATAATATGCACCGTATAACGATGTTTCCTATGGGCGATTTTCGCTTAGCGAAGTTTGGGACCATGCTTTGCATAACGAATGCGATTTTAGGTCCCCTGCTTCACTTAACAATGTTTCTTTTTTCAATTTAAAAAGTG